GCATGATTGAAGATGAAATTAACAAGCATACTGTATAGAAGGACAAGTTCAAAGAATATTCAACATAGTTTCTGCAAAGTTATTCCTGCCTTTCTAACCTAGACACAACTTTTGTCATTAAGTGACAAACTGACCGGTGTGGCCATGAGCAACACTTACCTGTACACCAGCTATCTGGACCATGATAGACTAGTGATGGAAAAACAAGATTGCTTCAATGTGGTCTGTGCGGACAGGTTAAGCATCATCCAGAAGCTCCAGCTGCTAGTGTAAAATACAGTGCCTAAACTGAAGGGGGCAGATGGCCAAAAGCATGTTACACCTCTGTAAAAAGATCTGCACTGCCTGCCCATATGCTACCAGGCCAGGTTCAATAGTAGAATCATAGAACTGTAGAGTTGGAAGGGACCCCAGGGTAATCTAGTTCATCCCCTTGCAATGCAATACACAAAGCCCTGGACACCTTGTGTCCAGGATACCTTAACGACCGCTTGAGCCCTTATATTCTGATTTGATCAAGATCACCTGGAGCAGTGCTGTTAGTTTCCCCCTATGTTTCAGAAGTCAGACTGGCCTCCACTAGAAATTGGGCATTTCGTGCTGCCAGTCCCATGCTGTGGAACACTCTTCCAGCAGAGAAGCAGCAGGCAACCTCATTGCTATTTACAGGAGTTTCTTGAAGACTTAAAAAAATATGAAATACCTATTCAGTGGTTTAAACTTTTTAAGATAAGCCGATAATTTTTATAATTATTTAGTACTGTGTTTATGGCATTTTATAAATGTTGCTGTACACTATCATAATATTTATAAATATTGCTGGAATTAAGACATTTGATTGTGAAATATGTAAAACTAGCAAATTCTCAGACATGACTTCAGGTTTGTTTAGCTGTAATTACTGCATCATGAGAAAATGCAAGTGAGGTCAAGTCTAAAAATAACAGAAGACCACATTCCTGGCATTTGAAACTTTAACTTCTAGCTATATATTTAAACACAATTGGAAACATTTTTTTCTCCTCACTCCTTTTGTTTGCAAAAAAGGCAATCTTGTCTAAATGCCTTCAAATATTTGCAGATACTATACTGAGGAAAACTGAAATGAAACTCATCAAGACCTTGAAAAACTGCATAAAAAGGCACTTGCAGTACTAGGCCTTAAACTAAGCAACATTTTAAAAAACAAAAGACTAAACAGAGACATCCTATCATCAAGTTATATCTGCTGGGCAGGGATAGAATTACTATTAAATTCTGCTGCACCAGCAGGACATTATGCTGGTATAGTGTATTCACACCAGTGTAATATTACTGTCTTGCCAGCAGTATAACAACACTGACAAAACTACTATGATGGCAATGCCAGCACAAGAAGAAAACGTGGTCAAAACGGGAGTGTGGAAGGGAACAAACAAAAAGCTTAGCTAGAATCCTACACTCATTTCCAACGTCAGTCCTGCACCTGTCTTGTATGCCAACAAGACAGGTGATGTAAAATTATCTCACTGAATTCAACAGAGAAGCTGAGGTGACTGTCCCTTACCCCCTTCTCTTCTACCAACCATATCAGACAAAAGAGAAACTAAAGTTATGATTATGCACCCAGGCTGTACAAATGGTTCAACTGGTTGCAAACCAGTATGTTTTTACTTACTATAACTTGTATACAAGCTCGTTCAGGAAGCGTATGAATTTCGAAATGGAAACTTAAAATTCATATTCATATTCTTCCTCCCTGCATGTTGATTTCAACAATTTCAAAGCTCAACTTTTGTGTCCAGATTTTCACTCTTTGAAATATGGCAACCCTAACTTGTGACTTTAGGCATGCCTCTGTTCACCTAGGCATTGGGCTAGGAAGAAGGTAATGTGGACTTCATATGATCTAAGTTCTACAGCTGGAACACCATGATAAGTATTAATCACACTGTTCCATGCATGGATGATGTGGGGTTGTTATCAGAAGTGAGGTTATGGTGGGCAGGGGGCAACAATGCTTTTTGGTAGCCAAGAGCATATATATCATTGCTATGTTGCCTCTTTCCCCCCTGATTTCTTCATGGATGTTTTCCCCATAGGCCCTTCATGTACCTCTTCTGTCTGGAACATGACAAAGCAAGTAATGAACAGACCTTCAGCAAAATAAGAAGTCAGGTTTAATTTGTTCTACAGTGACAAGTGCAACATTAGGTCTTTTACTTTGGCACCAAATCTAACAATATTTGCTAAAGGGAACTCAATTTCCCCTGACCCAGGGACTGCAACTGGTAGGCAGCACATGCTCCACTGACCAGTAAACCACGAGTCACTGGAAGGCTGCAAGAGAAAAACCAACCTGGCCCCATTCATTGGCCAGAGAAAGAACTAAAGGAAGCATCTTTCACCTACCTAGTCCTCTAGAATTAACAGTTATAAAGAACTTTGTAACTAAGAACTATAGCTACCAGTGTTTGTTTATACACCCTTGCTACAATATATTTTCCTGTTGTGTATTAAAGTCTGACAGCAGCATACCTCTCAGTACTTATTTTTATAAGCCACTATGAGAACCTTTTAAGGCTTCAAAGAAATGCTTCAAATAAAATAAATATGAATTTGAGGCAGAAAAAAATGTTTTGCATCCAATGTTTTACTCTTCTTAGATGAAATGTAAAAGCAGTGCTGAGTAGTTTGTTTTTATCTTACTTAAAAATAACACATGGTATTTCATATTTCCAAATATCAGTGTTGTACAACTGACCCTCTCCAGTCAGTACTACAATGAGCAAATATAAATGGCTCTGAACTAGGTCAGACCAGGAGACTAGCCAGTAATCACAAATTGAATGGGAGGCCACATTCTGCAATCACAGATTCTTGACTCCCTTTTGATATTTATCTCTTAGCTTTTGCCTCAAGGTCAACAGCAGCCATCACAAGAGGTCCCTTCCTTTGGCAAACACACCAAAGAGGAGATAGCAAAAGCCAGGCCCTGTGTTGCTTTGCTGCGTAACAAACAACATGCAAAAAAAAGTCTTCTTCCTCTACCGTGGAGCCAGACACAGAGACTTTCTGAGCACCTAACTGTGCACACAAAGGAGGGAGCAGAAATGCAGGAAGCCCACAAGTGAGAGCAAGGAGCTAGAGGCAAGTCTCTGTAAACCACGCAGAGAGGCCGCCCTCGTTCTTCCTTCCAGCCAAAATAGAAACAAGAGAGCAAATGGCAAGCGCCTCTCCGGCAGTCAAGCCCCCTTGCCTCTCCCCCTCCAGCGTTCAATGCAGAACCTTCAGTGTAAACAGAAGGAAAATGTGACAAGTTCCTGAGGAGGAGCCATGCCAGCTTGTTGCAACAAACACAACAGAGTGCCTGGTGGCACGTCCAAGCCTGAGAAATGTATTGACGCGTACATTTTCCTGGCCCGTGTCGTCAGAGACGTTAAGGCCAAGCGTGGCTTCTTTTAACTCGGGTAGGGGAGGGATGATTTGTAGGGACCAATTTTGAAATGGAGGGGACACAAATGACGCTGCTTCTGTCTCTCTCTCTCTCTCCCCCCCCCATCAACCTTGTGACGAGGCGACTCTGGCGCCCTCCGCCTCTTTATTGTGGAGCGGCTCATTTGCTCTCCTCTTCCTCTTTGGCACCTCTTCAAAACGAAGCCAACTGGCGGCCAAAAAGGCAGAGCAAGGAGAGGAGCAGACAGACGGCAGCGTCGGCGGAGACTCCACCAACTTGTTTATCCTTTTATAGCCCCGGCTCCGAGGCAAAAGCACGGAGAGCAGAAAGGCCCGCCTCCTTTAATTGCTAGAACCGCGGTGGGGAGGGAAGAAGGTTGCGAGAGAGCTGCCGGTGAATATTATTTGCCCCCCTCTCTCCCCCCCCCAAATATCCCGACGGGTCTCAGGATCCCGAATTAAACAAGGGAAGCACTTGCGCTCAACCAACCTCGCCGTGCTGCTTTAACTGCGCAGGGAAGGAGAAAGCAGGAAGCGCCTCCAAGTCCCTTGCGCGCTCTCCTCCTCTCACCCACCCGCTTTCCCCAACGCGGGCCTTCCAGCGCCAAGAAGTGCCAACGCAACGAGCGCTCGCTCCGCTGGGGGGGGGGCAGGCGAGCGATGCGCGGACAGTTGGTCTCGCGCCGCTAGACTTCTCAACGGCCTTCGTGCCGTACGCGAGGGGGGGCGGGGGAGGAAATGCGGGCGCAGCATCACTAGCCGGGACATTGGGCTCCAGCCCCGACGTCGGCGACGCCATAAGCGCCTCGGCGGCCCCCGCCGTTGCTCTTCTTCCCCAGCAACTGCCCCTCTCACGCGCCCCCCACCCCACCGTGAGTCCACCACCAGACACTCACCCTTCTTCCGCAGTGTCCTCTGGCTCCCGAAGGGGGAAAGGGAGAGGGAAGCTTTGGCGTGAGTTTGAGGGACGCGGGGCCGGGGAAGGAAAGCCCTCAGGAGCCCACTTCTCAGGGGGCGGGGGTAAAAGGGAGCTTGTTTTCAGACGGGGTGGCCAACGGGGTGGTTGAGGAGGGCGAAGGGTGGGCGAGGGCAGGCGCTCTTCAGGGTCAGCCACTCTCCGCCCCCTTCACGCGCCGCCGCGGGTCCCGACTGTTTGTGTTGCTGCGAGAGGCGGAGGGGGGCGGGGAGCGAGAGAGAAGGCGAAAAAGAGCCAAACAGCTGAGAGGATGTAAACAGTGGCGTCACGTGATCGCATTTACAGCCCAGGGCCTGCGAGCCCCGCCTCCTTTCCCTTCGGACTGGGCGCCGGGTTTGTTTGGTCTCCGACGCAGAACGAGCGGAGGCTCCGCCCCGCAACTCGGCGGCCAATGGAGCGGCGAGAGAGCCACGTCGAGCTGCCGCTGCAGTCAAGGGCTGGGCGACCAATCGCAGCTCTTGCTCTGAGGAATTGTTTTGTTTTTTTTTCCCCGGCCGGTCTGTCAGGCTGTGCAGCGTTTCTGAGTGGAAGGGGAGCGAGCAGCTGGTTGTGAAAAATAGGGCGACGTATCCGATTCCACCCGTAGGGAAGGTTTAGTTTTGAATCACAAAGAAAGGGATTTATTTTCTGCTTTCAAATAATAAGTGATTTCATTCTTACCTTACTCCTAAAACGGAAGAGTACTGGGGAGGCTTCCTCCTATTTTCACTTTTCCCTGCCATGTTTTGCACTCCTCTAGTCTAGTCCATGCCTTTAACAGCAGCCTTATAAGCAGAAGTTAAATATGCAAAGCTTTCGCTCTCTTTATATGTGTAGCAGAAAAATAATAATGGGTTTCATTTATGTATTTACTGCTGCTGTTTTTTTTCCAAAAAACTGAAGCCACACACTTTAACAGAATATTATAATTAGTGCAGAATGGCTGCGCCACATGATCCTTGCACACCTGAATAGAAATCTACTATTTGCCTACTCTAATTATGAACAGCAACAAAAGTGTGAAATGAAGACTGGATAAGGTAGCCACTTACAACACCAAGAAATGGGTCACCAAAAAGGACACAGAATTTATGCATATTTACATGCAATACTTAGTTGAATGGATATATATATATATATATATATATGAGAGTGTTTTACTAATAATAAACAACTTGTGTGCATTGTTGAAACAGTAAAAATAAGCAACCTTTCTGTTACTGCTTACAGCTGTATCAAAACTGGGTGGAGAGGGTTGGTTACCAATATACAGAATGACATGTACATAACAGTAAAACAGCATGAAAGCTGTCTAGATGCAATTACGCATGCTGTACAATCACATTGAGATTGCTTTTGTGGGGTTTTATCAATGTATGATTACATATCAGTATGGCATAGGGGAGAAAGGTGCTCTCATTCTGGAATTAAATTCAGCAAATCTGTTAAAGAAGAACTCAGGAGGGTTGGAAAACAGCTGAGCATACCCACAGAATAAATGTATAGAATGAGGTATAGGTTCTCATCCCTAATGGTAAGAAATGTAAAGGTAATAATGGTGTGTTTTCCTCTTTGTAAGTTGCTTTCAGAGCTGTTTTAGCTGAAAAGGGATGAATTAAATAATTCCATGCCTGAATAAAGGAGAAAAGGCCCCGGTTTCCTATGGTATACCCCTGTGTCTGTTGAAGATGTAGTGAAGCAACAACACCAATGAGGACTGCAGGAGAATATTTTATGCCACAAGTAAGTCCTCGAAGAGCCTTTTCCACCAAGAGTTCCAGGAGCCAGGAGATACTGCTCCCATCTTCCTGAAGAACCCTACAAGATTCAAGGTATGTCCTCTTCAAGGAACAGTGCAGATAAAACTGAAATAAAACCTTTTAGAATTTAGGAAGTTTTAATTGTTGCCCAATTTTACTATGCAAACTGCAGTGATTTTTTGTTGTTGTGGTATATGGATATTCCAAATCTAAATTAATACTGTAATAAAATAACATGTATTGGCATATATTGGCTTCTGACAATGAATTGCATGAAAAAATGATCCATTGATTGCATTAAGAGAAATCACTGTAAGAAACAACTGATTCAGTGTCCATGTTCTGGCCTACACTTCTTTGTGGCTCCATCCACAGGGTTCTCCTGTCCCTTCACCCCCATGAGTATATAGTGTTATATAGAGGGTTAGTCTGGATAAAACCCTGGTTTCCTTTCCAAACTGGGGACCCTGGATCTGTGAGGGTAAAATGTCTGAGGGGAAGCTGGCCAAACCAGTTCCGTTGTCCAGGTAATGGATTTGGCTGGCTAGTTAAGTATCATGATTTAGCACAACCAAGTAAGTTGCTCTGTGCCATAGAACAAATGGATGGGCCTTTCTTCTGCCCCACTCACCTACAGTAGCCGCTATGTAGGAGATCAATAGACAATGTTGTGTGTGAGTGACTGGAAGCAGGAGGCACAAATACATGTTTACTTCGTGCTAGATATTGGGGATCCCCTGAAAACCAAATGGGAAAGTAAGATCTATTGGGGTGCTATTGGTGTCTGTCCCTCCATCCTAAGCTCAGGTTGTATCAATCAATCTTTATTGCAGTCAAAGACCAGAGAGCAAACTTAACATATGCCACATCCACATGAAGAAGCAGATGTACTTAAAAAATCATTTTAAACTTATTTACATTGAAAAATAACACTTCTTCGGTTAAAATCTGTATTCCAGAGATTAAAATCAGCACTCATTCACTGGCCATCACTGTCACCACAGCCTGTCTTGTGTTCAGGTTGTATATATGTGTAAATAAAACCTAAAGACACCACAGTCTCAGCTGATCCTAATTCCAAGGAAACTGAACCCTGGGTACGCATTTGGAACCCCTGAAGTCTCTTACCACTCAGAGTTTGGGGTGGTGTGTAACAATAGAACTGCCATGCAGGCTGTGTGATACTTCAGCAGCCAAATTCCTTTCTTCTGTCATACTCTATTGTAAGCCCTTTGCCAATGGTACAAACCACTCTCAATATATTTTATTTCCTCAGTTTTTATCACCACATTGGTCCCTCAAACATTATTTTCTCTTTTCTTATGTCTGTTTCTCCTGCTTAGCACAGTGGCATTGCCTATCTCGATAATCTGCAAAGCGATCTTAACCACATCTACTCCGAACTTCTGCTGAATTCAATGGTGCTTACTCCCAGGTAAGTGGAGTTAGGATTGTATCCTTAGTTTTGTTCAGTGCAGTGAGACAAGCCATACCTTTCCTTTAGGTTTCCTTCATTTGATGTTGCTAATAAATATCCCTTTAACTAGTAGCAGATTCTAATATGAGAGGAGGACATTTGTCTCTTATTTTAAGATGTTTACCAAATTTCTGCATGCATGCTTAGTAGCAGCAGCAGCGTATGAAATTCTGACAAGCAGGAGCAAGTCTTAACATAATGTTAGAGCTCTAATCTCACCAGTAGCCTGAAGGTTTCTTTGTACTGAGAAAGAGCCAATAACCTGTCTTTCAAGAGGCTGGACTTAAGGACTTGTACTGCTGCCTCACAAAAGGGGAAAAGCTGCTGCTGCTTATTCTTAATTTCCATTATGACTAGCAGGTAATAAGGATGGGGATAGGAGTCTTCATAATCCACAAACACACACATTTGATTACATTAGCAAAATGAGAAACAAGGACACCCAGCATTGAATAGTGAGGGCAGGCCACTGAGAGGGAGGCAAAGGAATAATGTTGACTGTAGGAAGTCAAATCTACAAATATTAAATACTATGTTTTCCTAAGGAAAAAATAATCAATTCCCAGCTGGTTCAAGCACTGTAAAACTGTACAGGCTAACCAAGTAACAACCTTAAAAGGATGATATCGAGGCTGTTAGTTGAACCCTATAGTAATCACCTGAAATAGTAGTACTTGGTTTAACTAGGTTTGGTTAAACTGAAAGGCTTTAATGCATTACTGCTCTTCATTGAATCAGTTCTTATATTGTTCTGAATGCCATTTGGCTAATGAATAAATAATACTTGGTTTAATTAATAGGGGGACGCGGGTGGCGCTGTGGGTTAAAGCCTCAGTGCCTAGGACTTGCCGATCGAAAGGTCGGCGGTTCGAATCCCCACGGCGGGGTGCACTCCCGTTGCTCGGTCCCAGCGCCTGCCAACCTAGCAGTTCGAAAGCACCCCCGGGTGCAAGTAGATAAATAGGGACCGCTTACTAGCGGGAAGGTAAACGGCGTTCCGTGTGCTGCGCTGGCTCGCCAGATGCAGCTTGTCACGCTGGCCACGTGACCCGGAAGTGTCTGCGGACAGCGCTGGCCCCCGGCCTATAGAGTGAGATGGGCGCACAACCCTAGAGTCTGTCAAGACTGGCCCGTATGGGCAGGGGTACCTTTACCTTTACCTTTAATTACCAGGTTGACCTAATATTACTCTGTCATTCGGTCAATGTAGAAATAATATTTTGGTTTATCTATCAGGTCAGCATTATATCTAAGAAGTGTGTATACTTGGACAACATTTCCACCTATGACATTATCAAAATTTGCCATCATGCAGTAACAAACAGGAACTACAGATTTGCACGCACCTGCTGTGTTCATTCTAGTGTGTGAGGTGCTATTTATTTCACATTTAATACATGTTCTGGGAACAGCAGGGACATGGGTGGCACTGTGGGTTAAACCACAGAGCCTAGGACCTGCTGATCAGAAGGTCAGTGGTTCGAATCCCCGCAACGAGGTGAGCTCCCATTGCTCGGTCCCTGCTCCTGCCAACCTAGCAGTTCGAAAGCACGTCAAAGTGCAAGTAGATAAATAGGTACCACTCCGGCGGGAAGGTAAACGGTGTTTCCATGCGCTGCTCTGGCTTGCCAGAAGCAGCTTAGTCATGCTGGCCACATGACCCAGAAGCTGTATACCGGCACCCTCGGCCAATAAAGCGAGATGAGCGCCGCAGCCCCAGAGTCGGCCATGACTGGACCTAATGGTCAGGGGTCCCTTTACCTTTACCTTACTGGGAACAGCTTTCTGCAGTGTTTCTTTGCAAGGCACATAAAGTGAAAGAGTCAACCTCACAGTCAACCTCACAGATATATGATGTAAGTTGGTTATGCACAAGCCAAAAACTCATGCGTAGGATGCAAGGTGAGCACTTTTTGATGCTATTTTCAATTTAATATTCTGTATACTTTTACAAATGCCTTGAGACATTTTAGGCAACAAATAAATGCAATAAATTATAGTTTTAAAAATAATAATGTGTAAAGCAGCCCTGAGGAAAGATAATGAAGCAAACATGACAGAGGGTATTCTTATATTAGATCATAGAAGAGAGCTGGCAAGAGCATCCTTTGTCTACCTTAAAAGAGGTCCCTTCACTTTCAAAACAACGCAGCTCTAATTCCTGTTGAACACTGTTTAGAATTGTTAAACTAGTTTCTTCATAAACTTTATACCAGATTTTTTCCAAAGTGAATCATTGTTCTAATACAGTAGTAGCTTTCCAATCAAATCTGGGTCATGGAACCCTTGGTGGAAAACCAAAGGAGTATTTTTAATACTAAATATTTCAAAAGTTTTGCTTAACAGAACAAAAGCAAAGCAACTAACCCCACCTAACTTCCACATTTTAACTTGAATGCATTGATATAGAGACTTATATCAAACGACTACTTCAAGCATATTTTGTTTCCTTCAGTGGAGTATGTCACCTGCAGTGGAATATGTATTTTTCCAGCATGACTGTCATCACTGTGATCTATCAGTGTGGCTTCAGATATGACAAGAGAGACAGAGAGATTTGTGTAGTGGTTAGAGTGCTGGATTTAGACATGGAAGAGCCATGTTCAAATTCACATTCAGCCACAAAGCTGTACTGTCTTTAGTGCCTGCTCAAAACTTCTTTGTTTAGGTCAACCTACTCATATATTTATAGTTGACATACACACACACACACACACACACACACACACACTTTAAAACAATACTTGGAACTGCTCGTTTTAATTATATTTTGATTTAAATAACTCTGACCTTTATTGCTAACATATTTATTGCTAACATATTGCTAACATTATATTTTATGTAGATAAGAATAAAATACTACCTCTGAAGTCCTGCACTTCTAACCTGTCCTGGCAGTTTTTACTAACCAAGAAGGGCAAAGATCTAGAGAACAGGTGAATAGTAAGCTTCAGAAATTTAACAGGAATATTATGTCAATTGACCTGTCCAACATGTTCCCTCCATTTCATGTGTTTTGTGCCTTAGGACACAATAAGATCCTTTTACTGAGTGAATCATACAGCAGCCTCTGAAATTGCCTGATCTCAAAATAGTAGCTAAAATGGCAGGAGTCTCAGGAAAAAGTGCAGAACCAAGAACAAAAATTATTTTAGAATAGAGAAAAAAAGAGAAATGTCACATATTATTGTTGTAACTTCAATTACTGGGATCAGGATTTGCTTGCTTTCCTCATTCTTCTCCCCACCCCTTCCGCTTTTGTACCATATCTGTTAGGGCAGAGCCACACCATACATTTAAAGCACATAAGTTTTCCCCAAGAATCCTGGAAACTATAGTTTACCCTTCATAGAGCTATAGTGTCCAGCACCATTAACAAACTACACTTCCCAGTTAATTTTGAGGAAGCCATCTGCCTTAAATGTGCATTGAATGTACTATTTATGTGTTGTGTGGATCTCCCCATAGATTGTGTGAGCCAATGACCAAGGACTGTATTGCTCTTTAATCCCCATCAAGTCTTTAGCAAACATAAACTACTTACTGGTTTAGTATGCTAGTCTAAGATTGGTTAAAACCTCCACTCACACATGGAGCTCACGGTCAGGTCAGTTAGTGTCTTCAGGTCAGTTAGTGTCTCTTAGCTTGATCTACCTCACAGGATCATTGTGAGGATAACATACACTCTGACACTGTCAGAGTCATTCATAGTGTAAGAACTTGAAGTCTTTTTTTGTCTGCCTCTTGGTTGCAGTTCATACCACATCCTGGAATAATAGTTCTTTGGGCCTCACATTGGTTACAGTATAATATTCTCTGGTTTAACTTCAAAACCAACAATAAGCTCATAGCTGAAAATCTGTCTCTGTTGTAACTGGAATTGGTTGATGCTTCACAACTTGGAAATAGTGGTGGTGTTTTAGCAGACCTGATAGGCAGAAGAATCTTAATTTTTCACTTAATTTTTCAGGAAGCACATTGGCTTATTATGGAAGTGCTATTTTTACAAGTCGCTTTTCAAATCAGAAGTCTACTTGAAACATTCTGAGCACTACAATGAAAGTAACATATTAATCACTATGGCGCTGGTTCAAGGAGTTAATAATTTGTGCTGTAGTTTGTAAATAATGTAATAGCTTAGCCCTAGGGAGTAATTCCAAGTATGGGAATCCTGCGTAACTTATGCCGGCTTAAGTTGAGCTGGTGTAAGGTACACCAGATCAAAACTCTGTTCAGGAGCAGACCTAATGCAGACTGAACCAGTAAACCTGCTTGAGGGAAATCAAGCCTTTACAATGAGTTGGACTTAAACCATCCTTTTTGCCCATGCAAGTTCTGCCAGTTTGTGAGGTCATGTGACTGAGTTAGGATCCTGCAGAAGTCCCTGCTGCTGGGTCCTTGCTCTCTCCTTGCCCTGGAATGTCCATTTTTCAGGGGTTGTGTCAGTGTAAGTTCCACTGGTCTCAGCTCAGCCGGCTTAGCCTCAGTTGAGCCAGGATGAGAAAGTTGCACCAACATATCTCCTGCTGAGCTGTGGTTGGGGGCTTCCTTCAGGGTGAGAACATCCAAGGTGATGGGGGGGGACAGGTGGACAGGGTAGCAGCAAAGTGGTGTAGAATTCCTCCACTTGCAATGTGAAATTTTCTTGCTTTGTCTGAGAAGTTCTAAAACACAACTCTTTAAAATTCCACCTGTCCTTAGTAAGTGGCTCTTAGGTTTTCAGTTCTACAGCAGTTTCTTGACATATTTAGATCACAGGCTCCTGCTAATAGTAGGAGGCAATTCTCTTGGATGTATTCTTATCTACTTGAAGAGTAGGAACAGCCAGTTCTCCACTGATTCTCATTTCCAGTCTACTTTAGGTATATTATCTATAGAGCCTTTTCAAGTCAGACTTGAGGGCCTGAGACAGCGCAGGTAAAAAGGGTGGGTAAAGAAAAATCCAAGTTTTTATCCTCTCAACCCCACCAGGCAGATTGCAGCATCCCTGTTAATCAGAAAAGTATTTATGTGTCTTCATTTTGGAAGAAATACATCCTTCATATATTTCTACTGTAGAAATTGTGCAGAGCAATTTAGGGCAAAGTTCTTTGGCTTGGCTTGGACCTTGATGCCATGGTAGAGGCAAAGCCCGACTTCATCTCAACTGTCTTGCTAGCAAAACAGTCATGACAGGCCATCAGGTGTTTCTCCCCACTCCTAAGAGGTCCCTGATGTAAAAGCCCTCTCACTATTTAGAGCAGTTTTGTTGGACAAGTCTGTTTAGATGCAGTGACGACAATGAAGTATTATTATTATTTTAATGTAGAAACCTGAATATAGAAGAATTTCGTGTGAACAGATTTGTAATGTATGCAAAAGATGTTTAAGGGCTTTCAGATATGATCTATATTGTTACTGTTCCTCTTAAGGAAAGTATAACAATGACAGAATGTATTTCAAGGAATCTGAGGGAAAACGTAATGGGAAAGCACTGTGAAGTCATGATTGGCGTTGCAGTTCTCCTTTATGCGCAATGATTTCTAAGTGAAAAGTTAGATTAAAGGCAAGGTGAAGAGAAATGTTTAGTTTTTTTTAAGCCTGTGCTCTGTGTAGCTGCTTATAATATACTGCAACTTGACAACATAGTTTGAGGCAATTCTTGTACTGTGTCAGTGAAGATTCAGGAAGGAAGAGCAAGTTCAAGTTGACGGATCCCATAGGGGTAGAATGCTAGTCTGTTACACCGAAGAGATACAAAAAGAGTCCAGTGGAGCCTTCAAGACTAACATGTTTATTGTGCTATATGTGGGCTCTAGTCAATGAAAGCTTGTGCCACAACAAATCTCATAGAGCTAAATGGAATTTGATGTTAATTGTGTATAAACAACTATTGTGCTCAGTTTGAAAAGGAAGAGCAAGATTAAGGCCTTCTCTTGCTCCTGACATAAATTGTCCCCTCAAACTGCTAGTGCATCATGTACCATGTTAGACCCAGTTGGCCCATAACCTATTAGACTTGGGCCCACCATTTGTTGTTGATACTACATCACACTTTGACCAGTGTGATGAGCTGAGTATTGAGTCTGGACTAAGGATTCTGAGCTCCTGTGTTCTGATGTCCAATCACAGAACATTTCAGGATTTGGGCCTCTGCCATTGGCCCTTGAACTCTGAGTCGTGATTCGCAGCTTGGAAGTTTAGACAGCCAATCACATTGGGAGTGGGAGTGGCCCAGGCTTTCAGGAATGTATATAAGCAGTTACTTTGCCTTTGTTCACAATTATGTAGTTCAATAAAGGTTCTTGTTATCGCTGTGTCTTTCCTCATGGGAACCCACCTAGACTTCACTTTCCATCTTTTACAGCAGGATAAATGTAACATCTTGTTTTATTTGAAAGACAAACATCAGAGAGTGTAAGTCAATTAGCAATCCAGGTGTTGATAACATGTCTATGATAGGGTTTCTAAAACAGCAGTTGTTTGTCTTTACCTCTATGAAATGTTGCTAAACATTTTGCTTTAAGGGAAAAGACACTTAATCAAAGTTATTTGTAATGAAGCTGGGAAATTAAAGAGAGGAGGTGATAAAGAATAGAAAATACACTCTAGCTTATTGTTTTATTAGGATATAAAAAAAGGCAAAGTGCTGATATTAAAGTGTAGTTTTCTTTATGGAAAATCCCCTGCTTGTGGGTTAGTAGATCTGGCAAACTTTTAGGAGCAATTATTATTTCCATAAACCATAGTAATAACAAGTCTTTCTATTAACATGTAATAAGCTTTATGATGCTATGTGACTGCATGCTAACTCCCTTTTTCCTTTGCACTTTGAATTAGCATCTGTTTAGTAAAAGAACATCACTTTCCATCACTTTTGGTTTAGAATCTGATTTTTATAAATTTCTCATATAAATTTGTCGTAATCAGATGCCTTTTGTATTCTCGCTATATTAGCCTTGGTGTACTGTATCCCCTTGTGCAAGACTGTACACTCACTCACCTTCTTAGTTCACTCTAGGCATCTGATAAAGTCAGCTGTTGCTTATGGAATCTCACTCCAGGTAAACCAGTTATGTCTCTCGCTTGCCACACCAGTTTTATATGAGCTTCTACAGTTTAGCTAACTCAGCATGACAGATAACTCAGTCCAGTCACATTATATCTAGCTGCTGGGATTTAGTTCAGATTTACAAGTGTCTAGGGTGTGTGTGTGTGTGTGTGTGTATAGAGGTATGTGGCTTCTAAGGTTAGAGTGGATTTTGGATGAAGCTGAGGTACACATTTGACTTTCAGCATACACCCTAATAAGACACTTGCTTGGAAGTCCCATACATACATACATACAGTCATACCTCGGGATGAATACGCTTCAGGTTAAACATTTTCGGGTTGCACTCTGCGGTGACCCGGAAGTAACGGAGCGCGTTACTTCCGGGTTTTGCTGCATGCTCAGACTCTCAAAATGATGCCACACGCATGTGCAGAAGCGGCAAAACACGACCTGCGCAGACATGCAGTCGCGTGTTATGTTCGCTTCAGGATGCGAACGGGGCTCCGGAACGGATCCCGTTTGCATCCAGAGGTACCACTGTACATACATACTGAAGGGTTTGGAACCAGTTTATTTAAGAGATTGTCATACCCCATCTGTGCCTATTTGATCCTTCCAATCTGTGGAACAAGCACCACACAATAACCATTCTGCATTTGCAAGGATTCCTGCCTTTAGTGTGACAGCAGCTGTACTTTAGAGCTCCCTGCTTATTGATATTAAGCACCATCACTACATTCCTTTAGATATCTGCTGAAAACTTCTGTTTAAGGGCTGCAAACATACATTAAAAAGGTAGCATTACTTCCTTTTGGTGAATTTAGCCTCTCAGAATCATTACTGTCAAAGTGAAAAGCAGACCTTTGTCTCAGCACTATTTTCGTCTTTGTAAAACTTGGAGAT